CATTTTCTGCGGTTATAAGATGTATTTGATGTATTTAAGCTATTGTATTCATGAATAAGCGTGAATCAGGGAAGTCCAACTAATCAGTTGTTGTATTCGAGTGTATTCGACTGTATTCATGGAGTGAAACGTGGGATTACAGCTGGACAGATTATTGTATTCGACTGTATTCACGGCGTGAAATAGGGGATCACACTGTTTTTAAAACGGAAAGTGAATCAATTAACATAATAGACTCCTAATATAACTCAACAAACTCAATTATAACACACAAATTTTGTATTTTCAGTTATTAAAAAGATTCTCAATCGAAAAATACACCAAAAACATAGCAATCTTCAGAGAAATTATATAATACATCTGAATACATAAATTATATTAATTAAAAAAATATATGAATACATTCATGACATATAGCGAGACAGTGAATACAATGAAATACATAGAATACAACGGGATACATTGAAAATACAAATGAAAAAAAAGATAGTGAATACAATGAAATACATGGAATACAACGAAATACATTGAATTACAATGAAAAAAAAGACAATGAATACAATGAAATACATGAAAATACATTGAAATATATTAACAGAAAATCAAGTTACTCAGCCCCAAACTCCATCGTCTTTGTTCAAGAACAAACCCTAATTTCCAGCAAATTCGCCATTCACCGAAAGCCGGTAGTGAAAACGCGTCGCCTTGGTCAGGCGATGGTGCCTTCAATGGCAAAAAACAACGTCAAAGCCTTCAATGCCATATCTCAGAAGATGTAGAAATCACATAAACTTATATCCTTAAATGACGAATTGATTAATAAAGACGAATTAAGAATATCACAGAAACTTATATCCTTCAAAGCCTTCAAGCCTTCAATGACGAATTGAGGAAGGAAGATGAACAATGAATTCAATGGGTGGTTTTGCCCCTCTCTGTCATTCTCCGCCGTCGATGATCACTCAAATGAAATTTTTTCGAGATAATGGAGATGAATCAGTGGAGAATTGTGGTTGTAATCATGGAGAAAGACTGGCGTTGAGAGAGAGGGGTGGAGACAAATCTGAAAGAATGAGAGAGAAAATAATACAAAACGTATTTTATGGCTTAAGAGTAAGAGGTGACCATAAATAGATATTTGACTATAAAAATCAAAAGGTATCTATGGAATATAATTTTTTAAAAAGGTATTTATTTAAAATAAATAAGATATTAACCTTTGCTATGGAAGATAAAAATAACTAGTTTATACTTATTGTCAGCTCGTTGGTTTAGGCCAGATTCGAATAAGGAGCATTTTGAGCTAAACCATATTAGAGTACTGTACTTCTCAACGTACCAATTCTTGCTATTCAAAAGTGCCCAACCACTACCTCCCTCAATTAAAATAAAAAAGCCCATTAATGTTCGGTTTCCTAACCATGACCAGTCTAGGACTCCAAATTGTTATGAATACCTCGAGTTGGAGTGTTGGACCATAAAAATTCTACTTTGCCACCTGTTGTTTAAAACATTAATTCTACTACTAGGTGTGTGGATGATATTTGTCAACCTAATTAGTTTTCTATGACGAACCATTTAGAAAGTTATGGACAATAATTTCTCATTCGAAGCCTCTAAGGTTTGATTGGTGAAACATTAGCAGTTTGTCAAAATATCCTCTAGGTTCGGGTGGACACATACATTCAATTTTTAGATAAGGTTTCAAATTCATAAATTTCATTTGGTAGTATTAAAAACATAAAGCTAGGGATATATTTGGTTTGAAAAAAATGAGATGAATAATGATTTTTGAAAGTTAGTTATGTTTGAATATGCATTTTACTTGAAAAGAATTTAAAGTTTTTTATTAGAAAACTCCAAAAACCACTCTAGAATTTTTTTTTCCTGGGATTTAAAGATTTTGTTTTAAAAATCTGCCAAAATAATTAAAATCTATAAACAATTTTTTTTATTTAAAAAAACTCGAATTTTATGGCCAAACTGAAGCAAAGATAAAAGTGAAAAAGTTGCAAAGAGTTTGTCTTTATCTAAAGCAGGGTCAGAGACACGTGAGAAGGAGGCCTAGTTGGATGGTTAATTCTGTCGCAGATTTTAATACTTTCCTGTTTCAAATTTTAAAGTGACATCCGTTCGGAGGTTTGATGTCCTTTATCTATTTTTTCTTTCGGACATTGAAATATCAATATTGAAAAGTGACCATAGAATTACTAGTAGTTTAGATCTTTACATAGAGGCGGCTCAATAATAGATGTGGCTTAAAGCAAAAATTTTAAAAAAGGCCTTAAAAGATATTAAGAAATGCTTTTTCATATCTAATCTTTTAATCATTTCATTAGCTTAAGATTGAAAAATTGACTAAAAAGCACTTAAAGAATAGAAGAAGATTCTACAAAATTATAGTTATAAACCAAATTGATTCAAGTTGAAGTGAGTTAGACAAATTAAGAAGTTGTGCCCATTCACCATGCGTGAGGTAACAAAAAAGAATAATAAAAAAAGGAAGTAAATGCAAATTTAATAATCTACAATTTTTAGTATGAAACTTTAAAAATTGAAAACAAATGATTAAAACTAATTTATTTATTACTAATAATAATTACATAATTATTTATACTATATTAAATTTGGGGCTTAAATTTTTGGGGGCCTAAAGCCACTGCTTTAGTGGCTTTAGGGTTGAGCCTCCACTGTCTTTACATAAATAGACGGCCGGATTTATTGCTTATTTTTCCTAGGTAATATATATAGATTAGAATATTATACAAGGTTACACATATAATACATGAAATATACATGCTGATTATTTTTAATTTAAACACTTAGGTGAACGGCTATATAGGTTAATTCTTCTACTTTATATGAAAAACAACATTACTGTTAGTTGGGCTGTTTGTTGGTGGGCTGAATATTGATTCAAAAATCTAATTAGGCCTGACTGGCAGAAAGCCCAGTAATTGGACATACCGTGAACTGACCCAAATACGACACAAACGTCGGATACAAGGGAACGGAGATCATCATCATCATCAAAAGAAGAAAGAAGAAAAAGAGGAACAAACCCAGCCAACGAATCTTTCGTTGAAAAAAGGTTGTCGTCTCTGATCGTGTGGGGAGTTTCGGGCAGGTTCCAGTTCATCATAAATAATCCAGCAAAAGATTCAAGTAAGCTTAGTTCAATATGTCGTCTTTTTGTTTGCCTAGATATGTTCCCATTTTCTGCTAGGTTTGTTGAATACTCTAGTTCTATGCTATTGGAGCTTTAGAAATTGCTAATATCATGTTCCCTCTAAATTCTCTTTAATCTGGGAATTGATGTTGAATAACATGTCGTGAATAACAGGCTAGATTTATGCTGAATCTTTCTGGTTGAATTTGTTGGTTATAAGTGGTATTTAGGAGCTTCTTTTTACATGTAAAGTAAGCAAATATATGTAAATGTGTGAGTTCCAACTTAGGGGTGGTGGTGGTGTGTGTATATAGATTAGCTTCTTTTATTAGAAAACTAAATTAGGGTTTACTAACCAGGCATCGACTTTATGATACAGAGAGGCAAAATTGAATAATGTCAATGTGGAATATGAAAGGCTACTTGAGAAGAAAGTGTAAAAAGTTAAGGGGCATGGAGATGGATTTGGAAGTGGAGGTTGTGTGATCTCTCTATTGAGTGGTTAGCAGCGCATGACAAATCATTTGTGTATATCAAACATGATCAGGAGAGTGATAGTGGCATGATCTGAAAATGAAGGTTTATGGCATGTTACTGTTAGTAAATTATAGGAGTATTTGGGAAAATGATTTGCCAAAAGATGCAATTGCCTGGGGAGGAGATATTTCTTAATTTTATGATAGTAGATGGCAACCGTGGTATTCACTCTTGAGACTTCAATTTTTCATTTTTGAATTTCACAGGGAAAGTTGTTCAGTTTACCTCCCATCCCCTAGGCTTCTACAGACCAATTTGCTGCGGATGAGATCTTTCTTATTTTTAGATTGATGGCATGGGGTCCTAAGAATTTAGTTAACCTCATAGGGCGGGTTGTTTTTGTTTGTATCTATGGCCCAAAGGTGAAGTTGGGTCTCCATCCACTCCGTAGCTTTAGATGGCATGGGGGTACATCTTGGTATTGGTGTTAACAACTATACCTCATCTTAAGGGTTATGAATTGTGTTATCCATTTTGCTCCATTTCTACCCGTATCATTCCAATATGCAATAACTTGGGATTCTCTAATACTAGAAGTTCTCTATTTTTCTACCGACTACAAATATGTAAAAGATTAAAATGACTCCTTTTATGCACGGGATCATATATAATTGTACCAACATGACTAATCCGTAATCCTAAGTAGTTGGTATTGTCTTTGAAATTCATAGGACAAGTTGTTCATTTTTCATCTATGGTCCAAAGGTGAAGTAGGGACTCTATCTCCTTCCATCCCAGACCAAGGTGGGGTTCTGTGGAGGTGAGAGGAACCCAGATATTCGAGGCCGTTGTGGAAAATTGAAATCATTGCTTTAACCGTGAACTTGGTTGTCATCCCCTCTGGTTTCCGAAGAATAGGATGAGTGGAAAAATGCTTATGTTCTGGGAAATATGCCTTTGCTTTTAGGAAGACCCTAAGACAATTGGGATGACTGGAAATCGGAGAATGAAAAGGTATGGAGAATAAGAAGTTTTCTTTTTTTGGGTTGGGTTAAGAAACAAAAGGAGAAGAAAAGGAGGGGTGGATTTTGGTGGTATTTTCTCCATCTGACATGCCTAATCAAAATGATTTGTGTTGAGTTCTTAAGTTCAGAAGAGTGAGTGGACTTCACGCTCAGCTATGTTGCAGCTGAAGTGAAAGAAATATATATTACTTGTTGGAATATTTTGAACTAAAACTTTCTTTCTAAATGCAGGTGTTACGCGGCCGCAGCACTCTATACACCAAATATTCAATTTTGCTTGTGGATTGATGCTGCANACCCTTTAAAAAACAAAAACAAAGAAGGGCAATATATCACTTTCATTGTGACTTCTGATTAGATAGAGAGGTCTAATTTAACCCATTTAGTTTCAGTTTCATAAACATTTGGCTTATGCTGACATTGTTTGAAAGAGCATCTGCTTTCAGAAGTTCTACAGAATTTTCACTTCCTAAAGTTTTCCAGAAATAAAGTATAACTGCAGGCCTTTATCATCTAAGTTACTCTGGAATGTTTTATTTGTAACAGTAATTCTGGCAACTGCTAATTGGCTGCTTTTGATGTTATTGCAGGATCCTATTAACTCTTTGGATGATAAGTCTGAAAGCAGACTTTATGTCGGAAACCTTGATCTTAGAATATCAGAGTAAGGATAGATCTCTGCATTCGAATTCCCTGGTTAACTTGTACCATTGGTAACTTATATTGCCCAGAACTTGCTTCACCTGATTAATTAAATTATTTTTTTTACACCAGGGCTGCTCTTATTAAGATGTTTTCCCCCTATGGGAAGATTGTAGCTGAAGACTTCCTGTGGCACACTCGTGGTCCTAAGCGTGGGGAGCCACGTGGTTATGCTTTTGTCCAATTTAGTACTAAAGAGGTAAGTTGCAGAATCTCAGTTGCTCATCAATAGAGTAGGTTCTGATTTCTGTGTTTAAAGTGAGCATGCAGGAAGCTGTACTGGCCAAGGAGAAGATGCATGGAAAATTAGTGTGTGGGCGACCTTTGGTTGTTAGGCTTGCCAGCGAGAAATATTTTATGGAAGGGGCTGAAAGCTCTTTTGGAGCTGGTGGTGAAACGAGTAAATCCAACTTTGTTTCTGGCTCTTCGGCGCAAATGAGCAAGACTGCCAAAATAGCTGCAATTAAGAACAAATTGAAGGCCATGGAAGAAGAGAACCAGAACTCAAAAAGACCAAAAACAACGGACAAGCTCTCCGATAGTTAATGTCAGATGATGTCGAGCTCAGTATACTGCTACAGTCCGTTGAGGTTCTCTTGTCCTCATCGCCAAAAAAAACTCGTACTCATATTTTTCCGTCTTCAGAGTTACAATATAGATATCTTTGGATCTTTGTATTTAGAAAATGCGAGGATGATAGTTATATTGGTTCATAAACCTCCGTGCAGAGTGATGTCAACTTTGTTTTCCTGGCAGATAACTTCGGATCTGCTGATTCTCGTTGCGCACTTGGATTTGAAAGCCAAACTTGGACAATGAGCTTTACTGGTTTTAAACATTAAAAGACATACATTACATAGGGCGTGGAGTGTGGACCCATTGTCCTTGAGATTAATTTCCTCAGTTTTTTCATAGTTTCTCTTCAGGCTTTTTTAATCAAATGTCAAACTTTATATGACGAGATATTAGCATTAGAATTAAGAGGCAGTAGCCACTAAGATGCTAGTTGCTACGTCTAACATCAAGGAGTGGTATATTAGTGATGTGATTTAACTTTTAAGATTGCAGTATGTACAAACATCGAAGGAATTGAAATATGCACTTCAAAATTTTAAATTGTCTTAATTTGTATTTTGCTTCTTTACAAAATTAACATGTTTCGACATGTTGATTTGGGAACCATAATTCTTCCTTGACATAATTTATTTCTTAAAAATGGCAAAAAGATTCGTAACGTAATATTACAAGATATTTTTAGTGGTTAAAGTTTCGAATAAAATAATGGATTTATTATTTACTAAGTCGTAGTACAGTGTGATAATTCACAATTTTAATAAGATATCTAACTTATATGCTCCGAATATAATGTATGAGGAGAAAATCAAGTTCGACTCTCAGTAATCACTTTTTATATAGGTTACACTATTCATACGGATGTAAATTTTACCGATGGTCATTCAAGACGTATTTCAGTAACGTTACACTAAATATCTCAGTAACGTATTTAAAAAAGAAGTCTAGAGTTTCTAAGATTAGAGTATCTTGAGGGATATTTCAGATTTTGTCTTAAATCTACAGTTTAAATACAACCGGTGAGGTTTATAATTCGCAACTTTGTGATGCACTCTTTACGGTTTATGTTATTTACTAAGCAGTATTTTTGGGTTGATGTTGCTTAATGAAAGCATTTTGTAAATGAATTTAAGTATGAGTGGTAGTTTTTAGTTTGTTAATCTTTTGTACGTTAATTGGTGATTTTGAAAGTGAATTAAAATATGAGCATTAATTTTTGCATTTAGTTTGTAGGTTCCAATATGATCAGCAAATTTCGTTATGATCACAGCTTGCTAACATCAATGACCAAAGTTTTAGAAGATGACTTTGTGTGAAATTTTAATAAATTAATTGGAGGATTAGAATAGCCACGTCAATTTTTCGGCCAAAAATTATATTTTCCAGTCACTTTTATATTTCTATTAACTAGGCTATACTAAAATGACTTTTATGTTACAAAAGAAAGAAAATTTACTTTGTATTACCAAGTTTAATTTGAATAACATTGATGAAATTTACCCTCCATTTGGAAAAGTTACTCGTTTTGTTTCACAACAGAAACTGTTACAAAGTTTAACTTGAATGACCCTTAATCAAATTTACCTTCCATGTGGAGAAGTTGCTCGTTTTGTTTCATAACACAGACCACTTGCTAATGTGATTTGTCCTTTTATCAATGAATTTTGTCTACAAATTTAGTTTCTATACAAAGTTTTAGGTTTGGGTGACTGAAACAATACGAATGCACATGCAAGCATATACACTACACGTATATCCGTATTCACATAAAAATGCTCATTATTTTCTTTATACGTTGAACAATATTGTTTTATACAACTTTTGAGCAGGTTATGCTGTACAACACAACTTTCTTAGCCCTATCTTAGAAACTTGCACACAACAAACAATCCAAAAGCCAAACCTTCCAAATTAAGTAGCAATTGACAAGAAATAAAATGAAAAAGAAACAGTATTAAAAAACCACACATCTGTCCTCGTTTTGTCCTCGTTTTGTCGTACGTAACAAACCCAAACATCACCAGTTAAAGCTGATAGCCTCAAAATGCAGGTTTTCTGCCAAGCNTAACAAACCCAAACATCACCAATTAAAGCTGATAGCCTCAAAATGCAGGTTTTCTGCCAAGCCAGAAGCACATATTTTGGCAACTTCATGTCTCATGCTCTGTGGCCCGCAAACTACAACTCCAACATCTGATGCTTTGCAATCAAAAAGTATTCCTGCATTTCATGCAATTCAAATAATTAGTTCCTTTCATAATAATTATTTCAAGAAGATTGGTGTGTGTGAGCGCTCAGGGGCGGAGCTACAGCCGATGAAGGGTCCTATTGCCGAAAAAAATTATTACTTGAATTACTTTTTTATACACATTAAATTTTAAAAATGAGTGAACCAACAAGAATTAGTGAACTCACTTTTTAAATCAGGCCTTGCACCATAATGCACCTTAGTGGCTTGAACAAGAGACTGGTGAGGAAGACTTTCGAGCTCCCTTGCTGTACCACATAATAAACCTGCAGGTGAACCTGTAGGGGTAGGTAGGTCCACATTCTGAATTTGTTTTCCTTCAGCTTCGTTATCCCTTTTTTGCCACATAAAAATGATGCTGGTGGCAATAAAAATGGAGGCACAAACCAAGAACATGTCCCAAATGATTTTTGCGCTGTAGTGATAGAGCCTGCCATCGCGCTCAATTGGGTATATGGAGTAACGTGTGACAATGCCTAACAAAAGGAGAAACATGACAAATGAGGACGAAATTATCGCGCCGAGCCATAGCCAACTGCTTGGGCCAAGGGCTGCAGAAATGGCAGAGTCATTTGGATTATGTTTGAACACTATTGTTTGGATTAGTTGCTTGTGATGGGCACTTTCAATGTTATGTTCTTGTCCATTTTCTCTAGTAATATAAGCTTCGATTTGCAAATCCAAGTTGGAAATATCAGCAGGAGTGGAGGATACTGGAAGCAAGAGGTCTATCATTGCGAGATCAGCTGTGTTCTGGAAAGCTGAAATTAGTATCACCTTTGGTACTTTGGTGTTGGGTTGAGTGCTTCTGTAAATGAGCTCTCGGATTATGGAAATCATGGGAGTAATTCCACTTCCTCCACTGACCATCACCAGGCACTCCCGACTGCAATGTCACGTTGTTTTCGTTAAATTCTTTGTACAAGGCATCACTAGTGAATTATGAGTTTAATTTATACATACCGTTAATGCAAACAACTTTTATAGTGTTTTACTTTGTTCTAGCAGGTAGCCTATATTATTTTTCAGTTCAATAATCCTACTCCCTTTGTTCATTTTTAACTTTGTACTTCCTTTAAGAAGAAATAAATGACGTATATATTTTATAATTTTACCCATGATAGCATTTCAAAAAAAAATTGGGAGACGATTTGGAGAATGAGTAGTTACTAATAAGGGTAAAACAAGAAATTATTTTTTGTCTTTCTCTTATTTGCTAGTAAAAGGACAAGTAAAAGTGAGAATATATTTTTAGTATAGTGAACAAGTAAAAATAACGAAGGTAGCACTTATTATGGACGATTGCCTTTAATTATTTTTTAGATGACCTAGTGAAAAAGTTAGAAGTATATAGAAGCTAAACTGATCATGAATTACACCAGATCTGGAGAAACAATTTAACTCTCAAACTCACATCAAGTCGAGCAACAACTCCTAAGACTATGTGTTCAACGAACAGATATTTGAATATAAATCAAGAGCAATTTGATTATATGAAACACTTTTTTTAGTTTATCCAAAAAAGAATGAAAAGTTTATGTATTCAACTGTAAACTTTGTGTTTTACTCTAAATAGTATTTTTTTTAAAATTTTGCGTTCAATCAAATATCTGTTCATAAAGTAGAACGGAGGGAGTATATTTAGACAAAGAAAAATGTTCCCCTTTAAAGATCAAAGTGCCAAAGCGCAGATCATTAGCAAATGTTATGGTTGGTACTTTATACTAGACAAAAGAGTTGGCCTGATATCTCAAGTAAATATATAAGTAAAACACACGTATGAATAAAATAAAAAATAAAAATAAAAATGAGAATTCATAGGAAAAATAAGAACAAGGAATGTTCTTGAGGTAAAATCACCTAACTAATTAATATTTAGATAATAAAGAGGAAAGGTCCAATCAAATATTTGTTCGTGAAGTGGGACAGAGGGAGTGATATTTAAATATAGAGAAATGACCCCTTTAAAGATCAAAGTACTAAAACACGGACATCATTTACAAATATCATGGTTGGTACTTTATAAACTAGATAAATGTTTTCGCATGCACACTACAAGAAAAGTAGGATACGAGAACATTTATTTAATGACATTTTAAAAAAAAATCGTAAAAAGGAGGATTTCATGACATTTATAAGAAAGAGTTGCAAAAATAAAGACATTTAATACAAAATGTCACAGTTATAGTGACATATATTTCAAATGTCATAGTATTTGTCAGTAATTAACAACATTTATAACACATGTTAGAAATTTCTCTACATTTTTTTTTCAATATTTAAACGAAAATTTTAGTATTTTATCTTTCCCTCCCATTTTCCCATGACAACCACCTATTCCCTCCCATAAGTGACATCATTAGCAAATATCATGGTTGGTACTTTATAAACTAGATAAATGTTTTCGCATGCATGATATCCCAAGTAAACATATAAGTATACCGTATGAATAAAAGAAAAAAAATATAAAAACAAGAATGCATATTGAAAAATAACAAGAAAAGGTCTTGAGGTAAAATCACCTAACTAATTAACATGGATGATTGTATTTAAAATTAAGTATCTTAAATTAATGTAAACTACATGAAGATCCCATGACTTTCCATGTCAACATTCACAAGTAAAAGAAAAAAAGAGAAATCTTTGTATAAGTTTCTGCCTTGGTACTTACCTTAAGAAATGTGATGATGAAGGTCCATAAGGTCCCTCTGTTGAGATTTGAAGATGATCCGGAGAACAAGAAAGTTGTTTTTCTAACTTTTGACTCCAACTTCCCATGCATTTAATGACAACACTTAGTTTATCTTCCTCCAAATTACTGTTAGAAACTACAGTAAATGGATGCCACTGCAACTTGGATACGCTTGGGACGTTCACAAACAAGATGCTTGTAGGGTTGTACGTCAATGCTGTAGAGTAAAAATAAGTACTACGTACATTCATTAATATAACTAGCATACTAGTATACTAGCTTCTTTAACATCTTGAAGAGATTATATTCACCTGGATTCTTGGAAAAGGTGAGTTCAATAGTGCTA